GTTTTCAGAAAGGATGAAATGAAAAGGACTTATATATTCGTTTCCATTTGGTGGACATAATCAATGGGAAATAGATTTTTTTAATTTTTTTTTTTTTTTAAATCAGAAATTGTAGTAATACCCATCATTACAGTATATCTGCAAAATATTGTAAATTGCAAATCATCTGTAACATCAAAGTTTTAACCTAAAAATAGCGTAGCAGTGTTATGAGTTTATTGAGCACTTGAGAACTGAATGTGAGGCCTGACTACTGACATAATTATACAGTGATGAATAGAAAAATAACATGCTCGTCCAATAAATGAACTCTCCACAATACATTTCCAGTTTTGAAAGTGCTAATGTCAGCAAAAGCAGAACTCATGACTGTTTGTCACAGAAGATCACAAAATAATCACAGAGATTGCTCTCTATTTGAATTAATATTCATGAAAAAATTCCATTATTTGCATAGCCATAGTAATTATACTCTTCTAAAGTTAAATTTTCCCCCAAAGTCTTATTGGAGGGTAGAGGATAATTTCCTTATAGTATAAAATGTTATAGACTTAGGTTAGATAACTGTCCTAATTTCAGCTATCCATTGGTGACTATAATTCCATGGAGAACTTGATAATGAGTAAATTTGTTAATTCCTCCTACAAAACAGACTCCGTTTGCATTAAGAACTGATGTCCGAAATCCTTTTGCACTGGAAGTATTATATCAATGTCCTTATTAGCTGCTAAGAGATGTAACCAACCAAATAAGCTAAAAGTAATGTTTAGAATATATTTCAAAAGGTAAAAAGAATATATTACTGTCTCTGCCATATGAGATTTGGAACTTCTGGGAAGCATGTCCTTTAAAAATATATATATAAAAGAATAGCTGAGGAAAAAAAAATGTCTCAATCAACTGTTATTATTTTAATTTAGAAAAAAACCACACAATAATAAAAAGGTCTATACTTTAGTTTAATTCCCCTGAGAAAACCATTTGTCTTTTATTTTTCATTTCATTTTTAACTGCAGCTCATGCTTAATAGCAGATGCTGTTTTCAATGTGAGGCCAGGAAAAAAAAAAAAAGAATTTTGAAAATTCATCCTCAATAAAATAAAATAAAATAAAATTAAAAATTCATTACTTGTTTGTTTGATGTAACTTCATTACAACCTTTACTAGGATGTCCACAAAGCTGTTTGCAATACAAATATAATGTAGAAATTCAATGGCTATTTTCAGTATTTTTGCATAAAAATAAAGCATGACTGCCTGCAATATGTATGTTGTATATACAAGACTTCATTATTTTCCCTTTATGTCAATATTAAAACTATGAAAATACTTTGAAAAGGGGAGAGACCAGCAAGAAAACTGTTGTTAGTGTTCTTAGTGTCAGAATTTCTTACTGCAATTTTCAAAAACTCATTTGCTCCACAAGAATCACTAATAAAGTTCTATGTGAATTCACTATATTTTTCTTTTAAATCATTCTGCTAGATACCACCTTCACATACTCTGAAGTTTTATAAATTCATTGTACAAACTATTGGCAGACCTACCTCGCCCTGGAAGGTATGAAATCAGCATTTGGCACAAAGCCCTCGTCGTTCTGAGATCACCTCTGCCTTCTTTTTGCAAATCATGTGACCATGTTACTTTCTTCCCTTGCTCTGTTCTGTGCTGGTGAATGTTCAGCTCTGTATTGCTTTTGTGATCTATGTCAAGGAAAAAAGCTTGCTCCTGGGTAATCTGGAACTGGTTTGTGTCTATATTATTCCTAAAATCCAGACTGAAGAATCATCACCAAAGAAAACAGTTGGATTAGTAAGGTTTGGAGACACCACATGCTCAGTAGGGACAACCAAGGAATAGAGTGGAGAAAATTAAACTAGTGAAGTGGGAACTAGAAAGTCTAAAACGTTTTTTGAAAATACTGCAAGTTGATGTTTTAATGTCATATTTCACTACATTCTTGTGAATTCACATCCTCCTCTTTTTAGAGGCAGACTTTTTTTGTCAATAAAATTCTTGATGCTTTAACCTTTTGAGCTCTGAAACTGAGAAGTTTTGAATTCCTTATTTTAAATCTGATGACAATTTTCTGAAAAACTGCGGTAACTAATGAGTTTTCAGGGTGAGAAACTAATTTGACTTATTTATTTATTTATAAATACAGGGCTCTATTAATATTATTTGCCTTATCTGTTGATTTTGAAGTAGCTTTTCTGTGGTATTGAAATTATTCAGGATAAAAGAATTCTAAAACATCTAAGTTATATAAATATGTATGGAAGGATACAAGCTGTTTGTATACACAATAGGATGACAATAAAAGCAATCTGTAAGCTTCTTCCAAAAGTGATCTTTTATAACCACCCACTGTTTAGTCATTTTGTAATAATGTGATGGATGAAAATGTTTTGAAACTGAAATACCAAAGAGATCTGCTCAAATTGCATTTGTAGATGACGAAATAATGCTGGAAATATATAGCCAATAAGGTGTCCATTCAATATCTCTAAATACCGATACCCTGAAGAAGCAGGTCTTATAAACATGATGGTAGTAAGATCCTATACTATGATGTTGGTGTATCCCACAGCTGGCGATAGTTTTGTTTAATTTAGACTAAAGATCTAGACCTAAGTTCCTGGACCAGTTACAAGAAAAACTGGGAATTTCTGGTACTTTCTTCACTGCTAAATTCTGAGACAGATTCTCTAGTCTTAGCTATACACCCAGAGATCATAGAATAAATCACAGAGTGGCTTAGATAGGAAGGGACCTTAAAGACCACCTAGTTCCCATCTCCCTGCCATGGACAGGGGCAACTGCCACTAGACTGGGTTGCTTTCAGCCCCATCCAGCCTGGCCTTGAACACTTCCAGGGTTGAGGTAACAACAGCTTCACTGAGTAACCTCTGTCAGTGTCTCGCCATCTTCACACTAAAGAATTTCTTCCTAACTCCTCATCTAAACACAACTTCTTTTAGTTTAAAACCACCACCCCTCCTTGCTCTCTCACTATCTGCCAGTATAAAAGGTCTCTCTCCTTCCTTTCTATAAGCCCTCTTTAGGTGCTAGAAGGTGCTCTAAGGTCTTCCCAGAGCCTTCTCTTCTGCAGGACGATCAACCCCAACTCCCTCTGCTTTTCTGCTTAGGTAAGGTGCTCCAACCCTCTGGTCTGAAATGTGGTATATGGAGCATCTGTGAGTTTTGTCAGACTAGATACTTGCTTTCTGCAGCTTTGTGTAATCACTTTTCCTGAGAGGTAATGTGGAATGATACCAAAAACTACCATTTTGAGTTGATCATTTGTTGAAGCCACCTTGCATTCACTTTAAAGAGTGGCCTCAAATGTCTCCAGGTGCGTGCTATTAACTCGAGGAGCCTTAACCTGACTGTAAGCACCACGGAAAGAAATATAATTAATATATTAATGTAGGAGGATGGAATGATTCAGATTCCCAGAGTTAAACTTCTGAATGGGATTGTTACAACTGTAATCAAAAATTTTCATTAGGTCTCTTATATTAATTAAAGGAGCTAAAGACACTGAGGAGAATTCACAGGAATATAGTCTGTTCTTGATGAGCTTTGTAAAATCTAGAAGCCTAAAATGGAATTCTTTTCTCACCCTACTGCAAATCCCATAGTGTGAGAATACCAGAATTGCATTGGAACAAGTCAGATGTTTGTAAGAAGCAAATAATTTCCTGCATAGTCAGTCATTTCTGACTGTAGAAAACTCCATATGGCTTTTCAGAGTAACAGTAATTTCAAAACTTGTCAGTGGAAGAAAATATATCTTGAAACTTAAAAAAAAAAACAAACAAAAAACCAAACCAAACAAACAAAAAAACCCCAAACAAATAAACAAAAAAAAACCCCTAACCCAAATCAACTAACCATGCAAAAAAAAAACCAACAAAAAACTTGAGAACCCACAAGAAAACTCTGAAAATCAAAACTACAGAAGACTTTAAAAATGGAGCTGACTTCTTTTACGTATTCAGATACTCTGGAGAGGATGTAATCAGTGCTACATCTTTTTAGTGGGCAGCTACTGTGACCCTGTATACCTCGTGGTACATGAGCTCAGCTCGTATACCATAGTATCAGAAAATGCCTGCATTTTCTATAAGAACTTTGGCCCATGGGATGTACAAACTTTTAGTCAGAGTTTAAAGGTATAAAATAAACACTGTTTTAAGTTCTACAGTACACAACCATGGCTAAAATGTAATTAGTAAAAAATGCTAGGCAAGAGCATTGTGTGACCAGAACTATTCAATCAGAAAGTGCTGATTGAACATATATAATCACAATCAAAGCCTTTATTTAAATAGGGGTTACAGTCCTAATAAAACACAAAGGGAAATAGGGGCAGAGGGCTTCTAGACAGGTAATGAAAGAAAAAATTAAACTCATCCAATTACATCTGGGGAAAAATCCATTACCTATAACAGTGAGAGGACAGCCCCAGGAAAATTCAGATGCAAAACTAATAATGAAGGCGCAGTGTCCTTTCAACAGATTCTAAATGAGCTCTAATTTTCTTACATCCACCATTCCCAAACTATATAAATTTCAACTAAGCAGAAAAAAAGTGACATGCTAGCACAATTGTTATTCCAAACAGGCACAGCTGCTTGCTCACCTTAATTAGACCTAATCCCAAAAGGGAACCAATCTTTCCCTATTTTCTTCGATGAGCTCACCTGATTTACCTCAACTTTTCTTTTCTAATAGGTTTTGCCCTAACCTTTCAGCTATTGTCGTTTCAGAAATTCTAATGGGAACTGAAGAGCTGCAGCTCCCTTGTGCCAAGCTGTTTTATCCTTTTTTTTTTTTTTTTAAAGCAAGTTTTTCCCAAATGTCAAAATCTTACTGAGGTGAAGAGGCATTTTGAGACGTGATGGGATGGGGGGGAGAAGCTGAGAATAAAGAGGGGGAAAAAGTTGAACATGGTGTGTGATTTTTTAAATTTTATTTTCTAAGATTCTGAGTCAAATCGGGAGCTTGCCTCCAACAAAACCTCTAGGAATGTGTGGATTGCAGAAAAGACTAAGGCTTGCATGATCTGACCCCTGGGTGCTGTGGCAGTACGCAATATCTTGGCGTCTGTGTCGGTGATAGTTATGGGAACAGAGTTTCAATACCCACAGAGGTGAGTATAATATAGGGATCTGCTTATGTCCTACTTTTGTTGACCTCTACAGCAAGTTGGGTAATCATATCAAAAGAATATAACTTTCTCATTAGTGCTTCAGGTGAGAAAGGGTGTTCAGAAGAACAGAGCAAGATTCTGAAGGTCTTTCATTGTCAACGTGATCCTTTCCCAGCTTCATCTAATCCCAAGGTTTTCCATCAAAAGTGGCAACAAAGACACACTCATTTTTCACAAGAGATGTGAGAGTTTATACTGTGGGAACATTGATAAAGAATTGCACTACAAAGAGTTTTTAAAACCACAACACAACTCGGAGAAAAAAGTTTCCTTGTAACACAAATCAGTCTGTTACAATTATTATCAGGGTAGTTTTCAACCCTCTGCATTTTGGTCTTTCAAATGATAGCTACATTAGTGGCTATAAATCCACTTGTAAATATAGTCTCTTCTCTAGCTATCAAAATACATGCTCAAAATATATTTCAAAAAACATCTTTACATTTTAGTACTGCTCATATGCCACACCATCACCCCCACCATGCTGAGTTTAAGCTTGAATTTGCTTTATCTAGATTTGGGCATGTGAGGTCAGCTCATTTGGAACTGATGAAGGTAGTCATGAATAAGAAATTAAAGGACCTAAAAGTATTTCTAGGGGCCAGGTCTATGTATATGCACAGTCTCACACCAGCCAAGAGATCACTTCAGTGCTCCTGAGTCCCCATTAACTCATTGCATTTTGATTTCAGAGCAAGTGTTTTAACTTAAAACAGTTATTGTAATTGAGAGATGAGAAAAATAACAGCATCTGAATAGCACCCAGGAGGGATGGACATGCTTCAAGAAGGAAGTCTTGAAATCACAGGAGCAGACTGTCCCTCTCTGCCAAAAGGTGAGCCGGCATGGAAGATGACCAGTCTGGCTAAACAGGGAGATTTTGAAGGAAATCAGGGTAAAAAAAAGAGCCTACTGATTATGGAAAAAAGGGCTGGCTACTCAGGAAGAGTTTAGCAATATAATTAGGTCATGTAGAAAGAAAATTAGAAAGACAAAGGCACAACTTGAACTTAATCTCACCACTTCTGTGAAGGATTACAAAAAGTCCTTCTACAGATACATCAACAGTAAAAGGAAGGGGAAGGAAAACCTCCATTCTTTATTGGACATGGGGGGGAATATAGTCATCAAAGATGAGGAAAAGGCTGAGGTATTTAACTCCTTCTTTACCTCAGTTTTCAACAGTAAGACAGATTGTCCTGAGGACAGCTGGCCTCTAGAGTTTGTAGACAGAGATAAGAATCTGAATAGCCCCCCTGTAATCCAGCAGGAAACAGTGACCTGCTGAGCCACTTGGATCCCCACAGGTCTATGGGACCAGATGGGATCCACCCAAGGGTGATGAGGGAGGTGGTAGAAGAGCTCACCAAGCCACTCTCCATCATCTACAAACAGTCCTGGCTCACTGGGGAGGTCCCAGATGATTGGAAGTTGGTGAATGTCACACCCATCCACAAAAAGGACTGCAAGGAGGACCCAGGAAACTACAGGCCCATCAGCCTGACCTCAGTGCCTGGCAAGGTTATGGAGCAGATCATCCTAAGTGCAATCACACAGCACCTACAGGATGGATAAGGGATCAGACCCAGCCAGCACGGGTTTAGGAAGGGCAGGTCCTGTCTCACCAGCCTGATCTCCTTTTATAATCGGGGGACCCGCCTGGTGGATGAGGGGAAGGCTGTGGATGTGTCTACCTGGACTTCAGCAAAGCCTTTGACACCGTCTCCCGTGGCACACTCCTGGAAAAGCTGCAGCCCACGGCTTGGACAGGGGCACTCTGTGCTGGGTTAGGAACTGGCTGGAGGGCTGGTCCCAGAGTGGTGGTGAATGGAGCTGCATCCAGTTGGCAGCCGGTCACTAGTGGTGTCCCCCAGGGATCAGTGTTGGGCCCAGTTCTGTTTATTATCCTTATCGATGATTTAGATGAGGGCATTGAGTCCACCATCAGCAAATTTGCAGATGACTCTAAGTTGGGAGGGAGTGTCGATCAGCTGGAAGGCAGGAGGGCTCTGCAGAGGGACCTGGACAGGCTGGAGAGTTGGGCTGATTCCAACAGGATGAGGTTCAACAAGGCCAAGTGCCAGGTCCTGCACTTTGGCCACAACAACCCCCTGCAGTGCTACAGGCTGGGGACAGAGTGGCTGGAGAGCAGCCAGGTAGAAAGGGACCTGGGAGTTTGGATTGACAGGAAGCTGAACATGAGCCAGAGTGTGCCCAGGTGGCCAAGGAGGCCAATGGATCCTGTATCAGGAACAGTGTGGCCAGCAGGTCCAGGGAAGTGATTCTTTCCCTGTACTCAGCACTGGTGAGACCACCCCTGGAGTGCTGTGTCCAGTTCTGGGCCCTCAGCTCAGGAAGGACATTGAGGGGCTGGAGCAGGTCCAGAGAAGGGCAACAAGGTTGGGGAAGGGACTGGAGCACAAGTGCTGTGAGGAGAGGCTGAGGGAGCTGGGGTTGTTCAGCCTGGAGAAGAGGAGGCTCAGGGGAGACCTCATCACTCTCTACAACTCCCTGACAGGAGGTTGTAGCCAGGTGGGGGTTGGTCTCTTTTTGCAGGCAACTATCAGTAAGACGAGAGGGTATGGTCTTAAGCTCTGTCAGGGGAAGTTTAGGTTAGATATTAGGAAGAAATTCTTCACAGAGAGGGTAATCAGTCATTGGAATGGACTGCCCAGAGAAGTGGTGGATTTTCTGTCCTTGGAGGTTTTAAAGATGAGACTGGACGTAGCACCAGTGCCATGGTCTGGCAACCGCAGTGGTAGTGGATCAAGGGTTTGACTTGATGATCTCAGAGGTCCCTTCCAATCTGGCTTATTCTATGATTCTATGATTCTATGATTCCTTCTCCTTTGAATTTACATGCAAGCAATTAAATATACCTACCTGTTCAACATACCTACTGAAATATATTTTAACTGTTCAATGTACCTCCAAGTTGATTACAAATAAGAAAACACTGAAGTTTCCTTCTGAAAGATTTTCATTATGTAGCTTTTGCACAAATAATTCAATGTAATGAACTTAAACAACACAGAAAACATTTTGTAAGGCAAAAATACATTAATTTTTGGCTTTTAATATACCAAGTACCTTTCTAGATATGCATTTCTTTTCCTTCTGAGTGATAAAGGGGAAAGTAGTTAATGAAGAATAAAAGGGAAGAGTAAATAAGGAAAAAGCATGATTATTTGAGTTTAATAATTAGTTCACTCCTAAGGACTGAAACAATTCTCATGTTCTATTTCCAGTGTTCTTCAAAACCTCTGAAAGAAGAAAAAAACCTACTGTTATGTCCGTTGGGAGGATCTTTGGTGCTCAGTGTAGAGGTAAACATTTGGTACCTTACTTTCTTTTTCTTGTCACAGTTCTATAAGATGAAATCTGTATATGATTTCCCAAAATATTGGGGTTTATTTTTTTCAAAAATTATGTCATGAAAACAAAATACCCAAGAGAAAAATAAGGACTTTTTTTCTGGGTTTTTTTGTTGTGTTTTTTTTTTTGTTTTTTTTTTTTTAATTGTTGTTGTTTGTTTGTTTCCTTGTACCCCTGAGATATCAGGTATTCAATCATCTACATCTCTTGACTATTCCCAAAGGGACATTAAGACCACAACCTTCGAAAGAAAGTGACAAAAGGAAACACCCCAGAAGAGAGTCAGCAGAAGCAACAAAAATTCACTTGTGAATTGCAACTTTAGTGATGTACTGACTCTTCAAATGGCATATTTTTACCTGAATATTCACATTGTCTAAATTTCACATTATCTTCTTTGATGGTCCAGTCCCTTCGATTGATTGCTGTGGTATGGCCTGGTTCTTTCAATTCTTTAAATCCTTTTCTGAGTGCAGATACAGAGCAAAAGAACTCTCTTTTCTGCAAGGGGGGAGGTGAAGTTCAGCCTTTAAAAAATATCTGAGGAGTAAAGTTGTATAAATAGCCACTGACTTGTAGGGGAAAAAATCCTTCTTGACAAGAAAAGGCTGAGATAAGAAGTCATGCTTACAGCCTAATGACTGATACGAGGGGAATATTATCATTACAGTAATTATTGATTTACTGCATGGAAAACTGAAAACAGGGGACGGGAGTAGAAAGCGGGGTCCACAAGTGCAGTCACAATGATTCTCAGGAGTTGATTCTGGAGATGAAATTGCTACATCCACTTTATCAAGGTGCACCAGCATGGTAGCACGGCCAGTTAATCAGAAGGTGCTCAGCTGTGCAGCCACTACACCTTTGGTGGTCTGAACACTGTATCTCTGCTCCACTTTGTACTGCACTGTGGACATATCTGCTCACTCACTACTGTGTGGGGTAGCAGAATGCTACCACTGTCCAACGCCACACATCACCCCTGGCAGGCATTTATTTTTATTTTTTTTTAGTAGGAGCAGTATTCATACAACTGTGCTTTCCATGTCCCCAGTACGGGAGGTTCTGGCAGACCAGAAAGCATATTTAGGTTTTGCAAATCTAGTTTTCCATTCCCCAGTCCTCCTTTAGATGGGGCTTCCACAAGACAGAGAGGTAAAGTAAAGAATAAGCAAATAAAATGTCAAAGAATAAGACTCAATATAAATTTCTGCTATCAGTGTTAGGACATTTAGTTGGAAGAAGGGTAAACTTGAGCTCTAGGCAATGTATGACTTCTACATGAAATAATCTTTACAAGAGGGAAGAGAAGCCAAGAAAGTGCCAAGAGTTTGCCACTGAACAAGGAATTGCAGCTTGAGGTTTTGGAGCTTTTCTAAATATTTCTCTTTTGTCAATCCAACAAAACTTAATTCTGTTATGTTCAGAAGAATAAGAACCATGCTCTCCCCTTATTAAATAACCATCACCATAGTGATTAAAGTGCTTTACTTAGGGGTGAGAAATCTACTTGAATCTACTCCAAAGGATGAGGGAAGTGCACACATTCTATTAAAGAATAACTAAATCTTCATCTTTTCTGTCCAGGATCTATCCAGTCTAACTTTGAGAAGAGACATTTTGATTGACATTTTTATTGTGAAAATCATACTACTGGATACTGCCCCCGCTCCTGACAGCCAAGCATGCATCTTCATCCCATTGCCCTGTGATATGCCACAGACTGGGAGAGGAAAAGCTGTAATGATGGGACAATAGTGATGGCTGTTTTAACACCTTTGGGATGCCATCTGTCTGTGGCTTAAGTGCAAGTGTTCCTGGGGATGACAGCACACACCTGAATAAAGTACCTATTGATTTAACACAGCAATTTCCTACCTAACAGAAAATTAGGACACCTTCCTATGTAGGAAAGTATTTAAACACAAGCTTCATTTTAATTTAATTTTAAGCATGTTTAATACATTCCTGAATCAGGGCCACTTAGGTAATTGTGTGGCATAATTGCAACAGCCTACTTTAAAAGTGCTGTGTAGCACCACAGAAATGTAATTCCCAGTGTCTGTTTAAGGAGGTGATCTATAGCTTAATGTTAGTATAATCGTCATTTGATTCAGCAGTTGCTTAGATTGTAACATTGTAACAGTGTTAAAAAAGATAAATAAATACATAAAATAGCATAGTGTAAATTCCTCTTAAATTACCACTCCCTCCCTCTATGCATAATGCATCAAATGTACTTAGCACCAGTGAACCGGATAACACTTTTTTAGATGACTCACTATCTTCATGTTGGAGTCACATTCCATTGCAGAGAATAAAATGTGTTACCCTTGGGAGCAAAGAGATTTGAAGGGGAAAAAATCTGAGGGAATAACTTCACATCCATTATTTGAGATGGTTCTTGTGCTGGGTTTGCGTGGACTGGTTTCAGTAGCAGGGGGGCTACTGGGGTTGCCTCTGTGAGAAGCTGCCAGAAACTTCCCTATGTCCAGTGGGGTCAACGTTAGACAGCTCCAAAACGACCAAGGTAGTAGTGCCTCCGGGATGATGTGTTTAACAAGGCAAAAAAGTTACTGCTCAGAAACCTTTGCAACTCGACAGCCCTGCAGACACCCAGGTCAGTGCAGAAGGAGGGGCAGGAGGAGCTCCAGGTGCTGGAGCAGAGATTCCCCTGCGGCCCAAGGTGCAGCCCATGGTGGGGCAGCTGTGCCCCTGCAGGCCATGGAGGTCCATGGGGGAGCAGAGATCCACCTGCACCCATGGAGGAGACCACACTGGAGCAGGTGAATAACTAAAAGAGGCACTGATCCCATGAGAAACCCATGCTGGAGGAGGCTCCTGGTAGAACCTGTGGCTCTGTGGACAAAGGAGCCCATGCTGGAGCAGGACTTGTGATCTTGTGGGGTATCCATGCTGGAGCAGCTTGTGAACAACAGCAACCTGTGGGAAGGACTCACTTTGGAGTACTTTGTGAAGGACTGTCCCCTAAATGAAGAACCCTACAGTGAAGAAGGGGAGGGGTGTGAGGAATCCAACCCCTGCGATGTCAGGAAGAGTGGAGATAACCTGCACAGAACTGAACCCAGTCCCGTTCTCCCTTCCTCTGGGTTGCTGTGGGGGAGCAGGTGGAGTGACAGGACCTGAGGGAATGATCTGAAGTTGTTTCAGGGGAAGTTTAGGTTGGGTATTAGAAAGAGGTTCTTCACCCAGGGGATAGTTGGGCACTGGAACACGCTCCCCAGGGAAGTGGTCACAGCGCCAAGCCTGACAGTTCAAGAAGCATTTGGATGATTCTCTCAGGCATGTGGTGTGACTCTTGGGGATGGTTCTGTTCAGGGCCAGGAGTTGGACTCGATGATCCTTGTGGGTCCTTTCTAACTCAGGATATTCTGTGATTCTGTGAATTCAGGAGTAAAATTGAGCCCGGGAAGAAGGGAGGGGCGGGGGAAAACGTGTTTTTTGATGCGGTTTTATTTCTCATTACTTTCCTCTGATATAATTGGCAATAAATTAAACTAATTTCTCCAAGTTGAGTGTGTTTTGCACATGACAGTGAGTGATCTCACACTGTCCTTACATTGACACACAGGCCTTTTGTTATATTTTCTCTCCCCTGTTCAGCTGCAGAGAGGAATGACAGAGCAGCTTAGATGGGGACCTGGTGTACAGCCAGGGGCAACCCACCACAGTTCTGTAAAATTCAAATAACTTGTGACAAAGACATGGATTATTTTTGCTATTAGTAGTATTATTTAAGAAAATGGCCTTTAGCCAGCTTAACAAACCATCTTGCAAATTGCATTACTTATAGCATTTTGCACTGTAAATTTCTTTTTGTTTCTAAAATATGTATGTTTTGAGGGCTTATAATTAACCTACTTCCATCATTTATATTTTGATGCATTCATGTGCAACTGAAATTAAAAAAAAACATATTGATGCAACTAATTAAATAAAAGTAAAATCGTATAAAGTTTCATTATAACTGTAATTGATTTGTCAACTGAGTAATATAGCTAGATATATTACTCTGTTGACAAATCAAGTTAAAATGATAATGACACTTAGCCTGATCCTTATTTTTTATTGCATTCCTTCCAGATAATTTCTCATTTCTTACAAAAAAGGAATCCAACTTTTCTTTTTGGTGCCTCATAAGTCTTTGAATTCAAACTAATATATTAAAGTCCTTCACAATTTCTGTTTCTTTTAATTGAAGTAGAATAATTTACAGTAGTTAATTGGCTTTTGCCAAAGTTAATTTGATGGTAGTGATAGAATGCAGTCAAAATACATCTATTGTCCGCAGGTGCAATAACATTTAGATAAGTGGGTAATTAAACCACCTGGAATCTAGGGGCCTTCACATTCTCCTTCATCAACACAGAACTTGCTTTGGAGAACAAATGTCCTGGCTTGGGACTAATCAGTACAAGGCAATGTATTTTCCAACAAGAAAAAGGGTGAAGCTCTAGGGAGGTAAGAAAAAGTTACTCATGGAAACCTACAACCTGTGATGAAAAGAGTTCAGTGATAAGTGAGGAACAGGTCAAAGAGGAACAGTTATTCAGTGTTTTTCATAATACAGGAACTTGAAGGGGGAAAAAAAAAAGAAAAAAAAAAAGTAATGATGTTCAGAAACTAAAAGGACATCATGAGGGTTGACCTGGGCTGGCTGTTGGGTGCTGACCAAACCACTCTCTCACTCTTGCTCCTGGGTAGGACAAGGGAGAGAAAGCAAAATTAAAAATCCATAGATTGAGATAAAAGCATTTTAATGAAAGAAATCAAAGGCCACATGTGGAAACAAACAAACAAGTAAGAATGCTTATTCTCTGCTTCCCAACAGCAGAGGATGTCCATCCAATTCCTGAGAAGTAGGGCTTATTATGTGTAGTGTTTGCTTCAGAAGACCCTAATAATGAATGCTTCTCTCACTCACTGTGCCCTGTCCTCCTCCTTTCTCTCAGCTTGTGCTGATGAACACAACATCATAGAGCAGGGAATATCCCTTTGGTCAATTTGGGTCAGCTGTCCCAGCTATGACCCCTCCCAACAACTTTCTCACTGGGGTAGAGGTTAGAGAGACAATTTTGAGGATGTGCAGGCCCAATTTAAATGTTGTGATGTGAACCATGCTATAGGCCTCAACCATTTTGCCTTGTTCTGTTGCAGTTTACTGCGATCACAATTAAAGATTAAGCTTAGATTTAATTTTATAATGTCTTAATTGAAATATTTCATCCCTTTTTTATTTAAAGAAAATATTTCTAGATCTGCATATATTTCTAAGTATAAGTTGCTCCAAATTTTAAGGCATTTTAAAAATGTTCAAATAAAATATTTGGCTTTGGAATTGGGGAATGTCTTTTGCTTTTTCTTCATCCAAACTCTAAGCATTTCAAAAATCAGTCAAAATTCTCTAAATGCCTTCATTTTGCATTTGCTCTTTAAAATAACAGTGGGGGAAAAACGCTGTCTAGGTCCCAAAGATGGTAGAGTCTGAAGGTATATGTCTCCCGATATTTCCCCAAAAGAGATTCTATAAACAAACTTTATTCTTGTGAAGCCAAGTGTAACTCAGTGATGAGAAATGTGTAGAATGGAACGTAATTGTACAATACAGTTCATCCCAGTTCGCAGACAACACAGGCGCATTTTAGACCCCAGCTATTTAGTTCTGGCTCCAAAGCACAGAACTGGTCATGCATTTAATTGGAGACCATGATGCTTCACATGCACTGAAGCAGCAGTGTGGTGGCCCTGATGGCAATCATCACACTTACATTCATGCACTGTGCACTGAAAGTTTGAGCAAAACCACAAATAAGGTCTTCTGTAGAAATTGAATGCTTCTCTGTTATTTTTTTTTTTTTTAATCAAAGACAGGTACATTTACTGAACATTTAGATCCTTAAAATTATCCTGTAGAAAAAGGACAAGGAGATGACACCACACTGCTCAGTGGTTTGCAATCCACACAGTCTTGATTACTAGCAATGCTCACCAGCTATTGAAACAGAGCTCAAGTCCTTCTAAATTAAAAACACTGGTTTCTGTTGTTTCAACTAAAATGCCACTGTCAGCAGATGAATTTTTTAAGGTATTGCAACTTTAAATAGATAAATTTTTGGTTGATGTTTTTACACACTTGGAGAAAAGGAAATTCAGAAGTTTTTGCTATGTTGTTTTTTCCAACAGGTCATGTTGTCTACACATTCACTCCCAAGATACCTGGATCTTCAAGCTCTCCATGGAGCTCCACAAGTTAATGACACATCATGGTGCAGCGACTTACAAGTAGCTGCTCCAGGGGCTGTTTTCAGACTCTCTCTTTCAGGAACTAGACAAGCACACTCTTGTCCAGTGGAGGGCAAGTGCAGAATACCCTCAAGTATTCTTGTAAAGCCGTAGCTAAAAGCACTTTCCAAGTGCCTGAATCTAGAGACCACGTGACCTTCCTGTTTGTTTAGTCAATTCCTCATACACCACATAATGGATCCTCCTGTTACATATCATTCTTATACTCTACACCTACCCATTGTTTGCTTTTTAATGGGTTAATTACTCGGTTCATACACTAAAGGGGACTCAAGCCTGGTTGTTGCCAATATAACATTTTTGGTTCAAAGTGTATGTTTTTTAAGTACTGCGTTTATATACTTCCATGACTACACAGTGTTCAATATGCAATATCATAGATGACATTCATAGACCATTTTTATTGTTTTGATGGGCTGCAAACATCCTGCTCATTTTTTTAATCATGTAGCTGGATATCAGTCATAATTCTAATATTCATCTTACTTCTGTTGCACAGAAACCATAAGGATTTCCATTTCTTAGGTTTGCATAGCATTCCTTTAACTTACACACAGCACTTAAATCAGTTTGCAGTGATGTGTCTCTTCTTGCCACATACAAGATACGGAAAGCACATTTGAGTCAACAATAAATTACTTCATCTCATTCCTTTTCCAGGGCATGATAATAGAAATAGAGTACAAATTATTAAGCTTTTCAACATGGTAATACAAGTATTTCTACGTTTTTAGTTCAAACCACCAAGTGCTCTCTCTGCTATTTTTTTTTTATGCTAAAACTGAGGTACAACACAGATAAAACACTATTATATGTACCATAGATACGGCAGGTCAGACTCCTATACAAACCACATTAGTGATGAAAGCAAACAAATACAATTTAATTACCTGCAATCAATAGAAAAAATTCTATAGGCTGAATGCAAGCTGTGAAAAATAGCAAATTAATGCTCTGTCACAGCCCGCAAGCATAAGAGTACAAAGATTCCATAAGTAAAATATGATTGCAAAACAAACAAAGTAACTGCAAAAACCAACCAGATCAGCTCTTCCTTTAGGAGCAATTTTTTTCTGAATTATCTAAGTAACACAGCCTTATACGTCCTATTTTCATAAATCATATAAGCATTTAGGATCCCAGTGGGATCTAGACTCCAAAGTACCTCTGTGATTTATGTGTGTATACAGAAGTCATTTAGGTGCTTTGGAGAAGGATAGTTCTAGATTTTTTTTTGTTTTTAACTTAAAAAGACAAGGAAGTGCCTCATATTGCTGAAGGATTTTTCAACACCCAAATAATACTTT